TTGTATTGTGACAATAAGTCGGCACGAGAAATTGCAGAAAACCCGATACAACATGACAGAACAAAGCATGTGGAGGTTGATCGACATTTCATTAAGGAAAAGCTCGAGAAGAAGATTGTGTCAGTACCATTTGTGAACTCAGAAGAACAGCTTGCCGATATTCTCACTCATGCCGTGTGTAGAAGAGTTTTTGGTGACTCTCTTGTCAAGTTGGGCATGTGTGACATCTATGCTCCAACTTGAGGGGGAGTGTTGCGTGAGTTGGTTTTAGAATAGGAATGTAAATATTGTGTAAATATTAGAGTCCTTTGTTAGGAAGGATATTTCTTTTGTCCTATTTTTAGTTTTACCTTGGAGAACAAGGATTGTATGTAATATATTCCCAATTATGCAATACATGAAAAATTAAGCCGTAAAATTCTATTTAGAAATTTTAGGGGAAAGATGCCTGATTTTCTAATGACAAAGTGAAACAAGGTGTAGAATTCAAAGTTGGTTACCAGAAGTTTTTCAAACAAAAAAAAAAATCTAACCCCTCTCGTTTCACGTCAATTTCCGGATTAATTATTTACATGAAACCTTCAAATCACATCAGAAGGGTTGGGGGTGGGTCCGGATTAATTATTTACATGAAACCTTCGAATCATATAAGATCAACTCAAATGGTGGGTTAAAAATCAAATTATTCTTCAAAATCCCCCCCCCCAAACCCACTCCAACTCAAAGGGAAAATTTGGGCTAAATGCTAAATACTAAACCAAGGCCAAATTTCTTTCGAAATTTAGCCCAGAAATCGGAATTTAAATTTTTCAATATTTATCGGAATTTAAATTTTTTTAGATTAAAATGTTCATAAAATTAATTTACGATAGTCTACATATGTATTATTATTTTTTAAATTTAATTTAACAAAAAAAAAACCTAAATTCATTCTTTAATAATCTTGGGCTAAAATTTTAAGTTAGAACTGTTGGAGCAGAAAAACTGTTTCTAGACTAAAAGCTAAATTTTTCGGGTTAAAATATTTGGCTTTTAGCCCAACCATTGGAGATGGTTTAAGAAGGGTTTAGGAGGGGGGGGGGGTAGGGGGCCGAGGGCGGGGGAGAGAATCATTCATTTTGTAGGGATTTCTATATTCTAGAAGTTCATCGTACATCGTACGGTCAGTTTTCGTTAAATACTATTTGTGTTTAATTTTAAACAAAAAAATCAAATAATTTCTAATCATACGATATACGATAAATGGTTAAGATGTGAAGATTTTTAAGATTCTCACAAAATTGATTCGGATAGAATCCAATTCCGGCCGGGAGCATGTAAGAACAGTCCCATCAAGGTGACTGTTCTCTTCAGTCTCCACTCTTCACCCACTCGTGGGGGCATGTACATGCAGATTACTGCACGGGTAGATCATGGTCTGATTAACATCAACCAATATTAACCTTGTACAGTATCCTTCAACAACCATCCCTCCCAGAAACCCTGGATGCAAAGCAACTGATGATCAAATATTTCATGATTTCTTCTTCCTTCTTCCACCACCATTCTTTAAAATCCCATTCCACCCCCTCCTGTGTAGTAAGTGTCGATCTTCTTCCACATCATACGTGATAGTTCATGCAAAAAATAAGTACAAGTGACTAGTGTATGTGACGGGGTAAGTCTAGCCTCATGTAGCTATATCCTATAGGGGGAAGGAATTTTGCCAGACCTGCAGGTCTTTGATATATCTAATCGAAACATATCACTCAATCAAATCCAAGTAATAACACTAGCTACATATACTGTTGACCTCTAAGATTGCAAATTTGCACGTAACAAATCTGCACCACTAAAAAATAGTTGACCTAGAGGCTAGAGCTAGCTCTCCTTAATTCAGAAGCATCTTCGCTAGATCTTTCAATCACATTCGTTTATCTAATACTGTGCAATCATAAATTATTGTAAATTTTTTTATTTAAAATTTAATATAAACAGTACCTGACAAAAATTTGCCGCACGATGAACGGATATGATTGGAGGATCCCCAGGATCCTCACAAAGAAGAGAAATTTTTCATTGTAACAGAAAGTACATTACTTGTTTTTATGCAAGTGGTGAGAAATTTTATTTTTTAAGTTATTAACTTTTTAACACATATATTTCACCATTTATATAGTGATATGAGGTGTACTATCTTATGTACCGATCACATTGAAAATTTTATCCACAAAAAATATCCGACGAGATCCTCTCTCCTACTTAATTACAATCTGCCTTGCCTTCTCTTGATGTGGGTAGGATTTTCTCCCCTCCTAGTCTCCCTCACCTTCTCTTCCCTTCTATTTGAATAGTTATGATTAAGTCACGTCAACGTTTTGTGTTAATTTTTTAATAATCAAAAGATGACAAAAAGTAATTTGTCAAAGAAGGGGAGAAAAGGAGATAAGAATAGGAGGTGAGAGACTGATGATCATCGACTGCAAAGCATGCACATACAGAATGCATGTGGAAGAAATTAAACACACAGCTGTGGGTAGTGCCGGGTGTTTGTCAAACATTAATACTTTTCAGTTTCTGCTCAGGCCCTATGATTCTGATTAATATGGATTGTCGAAGCAAGATGTGTACATATATGTTTTTTAAATGGTGATGATCTATCGTATCCAAGTATTGCCAAAACTGAAAGGTACCCTGCTCACTTTCTATATGTACGGATCCATTAAAAAGTCCTAATCTCATTATGCTGTGTATATTCATTCATACATAAATATACACATGTATACATATGATCTACGCATACATATAGCGCACCGGATCAAGAACTTGGCAGCATATATAGGTGTATGAATGTTAGGGTAAATGATAAAAAACTACCTCAACTATTGGTCTTACGACACTATCATACCTCATCTTTTAAAATTGACAATGTCACACCTCATCTTTAGAATTTGGTCCAATGTTATACATTCGGTTAGCTTGGCCGTGAATTTCTCAGTTAAATGCTAATGTGACTTGATTAAGAGCTCACTTTCTATTAAAAAATTAATATAATAATTTACCCTTAAAAAAAAAAACTCAAACACCCATCTTCTCCGACCCCTTCCCCTTTCCTGCGGACAAGGATTGTCTACCCTCCACTTCCGGTGTCCTCCCTGTGCCCTCCTGTTTTGTGTGGTCACAGTTAAGTCACGTCAACATCTTATATTATTTTTTTATAGATATAATAAGACAAAAATGAATAGTAATATAAAATGTTGACGTTGTTTAACCATGACCACACAAACAGGAGGGCACGGAGAGGGCACTGGAAGTGGAGGACAGACAATCCTTGTCCCTTCCCTGCAACCCAAATCCAAAACCCATATCTCTTATCCTTCCCCTTCCCTGCAACCCTCGACCCCTTCCCCACCCACCCCAACATCTCCCCTCCCCCCAGACCCATCTCTCCCCGCCCTCCTCGCAACATAGACCCGCCAACCTGGTCCGAAAGCCCGCACTCACAATCTTGCTTCCCAACAAAATTGAGTGGATCTAGTTCGCCAACTCAGACCAGGCCACTGTGAAGCCGGCGGTGGTTCAGAAAGTGAGTTCGAACGAAGAGAAGAAGAAGCACTACCGAGGGGCCCAACAAAGACCGTGGGACAAGTACGCGGCGGAGATTAGGGATCAGAACTGCAGAGGCTCCAGGGTCTGGCTGGGGACCTTCGACACGACGATTGAAGCAGCCAAGACTTACGATCGAGCAGCGTTCAAGCTCCAGGGCGCCAAAGCGATCCTTAACTTCCCGCTTGAAGCTGGGAAAGCCGAGCCGGTCGTGTCCGTGGAGAGAAAACGACATCATAAGGAATATAGAGACGAATGAGAGAGGAACAGGAGGACAGTGAGGTTGCAGGAAGGGCGGGGGGATGTGGGTCTGGGGGGAGATGTTGGCGTGGGTGGGGAAGGGGAAGGAGAAGGGATCTGGGTTTTGGATTTGGGTTTTAGGGAAGAGGACGGGGTCGGGGAAGATGGGTGTTTGAGTTTATTTTTTTATTTTTTTATTTTAAGGGTAAATTATTATTTTTAATATTGTATTAAATTTTTAATAGAAAGTGGGCCCCAAATCAAGCCACGTCAACATTTAACTGAGAAATTCATGGCCAAGCTAACAGAAGGTATAACATTGGACCAAATTTTAAAGATGAGGTATGACATTGTCAATTTTAAAAGATGAGGTATGATAGTGTCATGAGACCAATAGTTAAGGTAGTTTTTTGTCATTTTTCTTAGGAAGCCCTAAGTTTCTTCTCATAGTAAGTACGCATGCCCTAAGTTTTTCATGAACAAAAGATGACACATGGACATGGAATTAACGGTGCATATACTGGATGGTTAAAGAATATCAATGTGGTAAGAAAGGTGCGCTCGAGCGAGCAAATTTTTGTGTGTATCAAAAACATGATCACATAGTGTTATTATTCTAAATTTATATTTATTATTATATATAAATGTGTAATAGGTTAAATATGTAACACTACTAGAGCATATCAATAAAAATATATAAATTTAAGTGATATATTTTGAGTAGGACATGACAGAGTTCGGGGTTCATCAAAAACTTCCATTGAGTGCGCCTACAGCAAGGCCATATTTGACCCTATGATAACCTAGCTAGCTAGATATACTAGTTCATTCAATTCATTACTAATTTATATACTTTTGGTCTGCACAATTGGTTGCAATTCCTACTAATTTAATTTATGATCAACTTTTTTCTTCTAAATATCATACATCTCTCAGTTTACAATTTTGGCAAAGCAATACATATGACCACGGTTCTCTTTAGCCAGATATTGTTTGACGGTTGATTATGGTAGCGTGGCAGTTAGATCTAAATTTTGGGTGGAAGATGCAGAACAATGTTAAACAATTGAAAAGTATCAGACATCTGGATTCCTTCAACAAAAAGAAACTGAGTCGAAAAGTAGCAGAAAATTGTGAGGATGATATCATCTCACTTGAATTTGAGTTTTCCTGCATGCACATGAGCATGATGTGCAGGTTAAAACTTTCATAGAAAAAACACACCCCACAGGTAAATATATATAATCAACCTTTATATAACCAGAAACAGGTACACTAATGGTACATAAATAGGTCCACAAACTCTGAAATAACCCTAGATCCACAAAACGGAATGAAGCCCTATCTTATAATATTGCAAACCCTAACGCAGATTAAAGAAGACATATATATAGAAAAGACACACAGAACCGAAGCCCGTCTCTTCTAGCTTGCTTCCACCTCTTCTATATCTGCAATCCCAAAAAAACACATTAATGATCATCAACTAGCAAAGCATAGATAAAATAAATATAAACATACACACACATTACAGCGGTATAGCTGGATAGCAACAAATAAAGAAGCAAAACAAATTTAAATCACTTTTTTTAGGCAATAAGATAAAAATGGCGACTCCAAACCAACAAGACTCATAACCTTGCAAGCGTTGGAGGGGATGTCTATCGTATATAACTTTACCTTTACTTTGTAAAGAGATTGTTTTCATAACTTAAACATGTGACATTTCGGTCACAAAAGAGCAACCTTTCAAACAATAAGATAGTCTTAACTAATTCATATAAACTACGAGCAAAATTCGAACTTGAATAAGGAGAAATACAACGCTATAGCTAACTCGCCTAAACCTAAATCTCTACTTTATCACATTGTTTTAATTTGGGAAAATACATAGAAAGGAACCAAATAACATATTAAGGTTAAAAAAATAACTAGCATAAAGAAGTAAAAAAATAAAGAAAAATTAATTGTGAAATTAGTATACCAGGTAATAGAAAGAGCCATGGTGGAGAGAGTGGAGGGTGAGACCCCACTCATTGGTGAGAACGGGCTGACCGGAGGAGTGAATGAGAACGGCGTCATCCCCGAAAGCCTCACGCACGTTGAAGGGACCCGCACCCACCTCGAATGCGACGTCGTTTATGAATACCGTTGATTTCGCCGGACCTCCCGGAGCCATTGCACCCGCTTCGCCAACACTACCTGTCCAAAACTCCAAACACCACCACATTAAGTCACACAATCACACAGTATGCGACGTCGTTTCATCAGTCCGATCTCATGATTTGAAGGGCGTATGTACGTGAACAGTTCGGTATTGTCCGGGTAGTAATTAGTCCAATCCAAACCCAAACACGTTATAGAACAGACTGGTCAATCAAAACCCATGCACACGTCCATCGTAACCCCAAACGCAAAAACCTAGCAAGCTAAAAGTTTCTTGCCGAACATAAAGACAAAACTACCCTCCCTTCCATACGTAATACATTACAAACATGGCAATCACTTTCATCCCAAAATACAAACCCATCATAAATCAATCCCACTTTGATACATTTTGGTATTATGTATCAATAATATATACATATGTGTGTGTGTGTGTGTGTGTGTAAGTGCTGTAGTCTAGCACTATATTATTGTTTAACGTACATGGAATACCGCTATTAATTCGACAAAAATGGATAAATTGGTTGCAGATTAGAGCATTTCCCTTAAACAAGGACTTAATTTAGACAATTTTCTTATGTGAAGTATTGCATATGGAGATCTAATTAGCAAAACATGAAATTTTCAGTTAGTCTACCTTGAATGTTGTGAAACATGGGGGATGGAACAGCAACAGTAGGATTAGTAGAAGCAGCGACAGCAGTAGTTGGAGATGTCAGGTGCTGCTGATTATCCACATTCTTCATGGCCATGATCTGATCTTCCTGATGGTGATATTCTTTCCTTGATATTCCCCCATGGTTCATGATCTCACTCAGCAGGAGACTAGTGCAAGGTCCAATGTTATTATTATTAGTTTGCTCATGATTTGGAACATGAACCACATTAGCCAGCTCAGATAAGCAAAACCCTTGTGTCAAATTAGGATTAATGTTGCCCTGATGCACCGGAAAAAAGAACGGCGATTCAGGCAAGACCTCGTTGTGGTGAGGATGGTGAGGCTGGAAAAAGTTAGTGCTTTGGTTCACAGAAGCAATTGGAGAGATAATTGAAACATCATGAGTGGAGAACCCCATGGAGAAAGCCTTGTTGTTTGGTGCTTTGGGGGATGATTTTTCAGAGGACGACGAGGACGACGAAGGGGCGGCGGCATTGATGATGTTGAGAGTGGTGGCTGCGGAGATGGGCGTGGAGATAGGAAGATGGGTGTGGCGATGATGGGTTTGTTGTTGCTTGGGTAAGTTGTGGAGGTTGCGGAGCTTGTGCTTGCTTCTTGACTTTCGGTTTTGGAACCAATAGAACACATTGGCGTCTCCGACTTGACCGTACTCTTGCAGCTGAGCTCTAATCTTCCTGATCTCATCCCTCGGAGGATTCACCACCCCGGAGTTGAAGATTGCTTCGAGTATGCGAATTTGCTCCGGCTTTGGGTTCCATCTGGGTTTTGGCTCCGGACTGCGTTCTTCACACCCTCCCACTGTTACATTCACATAATTAATAAAAAATGTAAATGTACGTAAACTAAAACATATATAATAATTAGTAACAAATTATGCATATCATATGAATAATTGAAAAAGCTATTATTATACACAGAAAAGAGATTTGAACTTGAATGCAGATTTCGGGAAAAATAATTATAAAATATTGAAAAGAGTTTTAACATAAAATGTTGAAGACGGTTATGAAGAAGTGAGTGATGAAATAGGAATTTGGGGAGTTACCTGAGGAAGAGGAGGGTCGGTGGCAGCTGTTTGAGACGAGAGAAGGGCTGATGTCATGCTGCCATTGGTGGTGCGTGCTGCAATCAGCAGGCTTGGACTTGAACATGCTTGGCCAGTGTCTGTTTGATGAAGCCATGATGATGATGACGACCAAAGGGAGGGATAGCGAGACAGAGAAAGCTAGCTAGATGTTACAGTAGCTAGGAAGCTATGGGTATAGCCAGCCAAAAGGGAAGGAGAAACCCTTTTCTGCTGTTTGTTTTTCTCCTTAGCCCACCAGAGCATCACTTCTTATAGTCTCATCACCTACTCCTGTGAGTTCAATATTTCTCTTGTTTATTAATTAAAACTTGTACAATAAATAAACACGAGCCCTTCCCACGGAGTAGGATTCTCTCATCTCTATTTTTACCTTCCCTTCTCTCCCTTCAAATTTGAAATTTCACAGTTAAATTATATCAACATCTTATATTAATTTTTTATAGAAAGAGAAAGATAAAATAGAAAATGTGAGAGGAGGGGATGGAAATAGTAGGGGAGAGAATCCTAATCCCTTCCCTCCTCCCAAAGAAAATATAAAAAATAGGATACAAACTGATGAGAAATTATATAAATTAAACAAATATAATTTGATTTATATATAAAATGGGCAGAACCCACAACAGGAATCGCCTGCTAGAAAGATAAACAAGAAAGGAAATGAAAATAAATTTGTGTGGAGTGAAATTAAAAGAGAGAAAGTACTACTCTCAACCCATCCCTTCTTTTAGAATTTAGATTTAATACTAGCAAGTGAAAAGTGATGATGCATGAAATAATGCTTGTTCTCTACTCGAACTCTGAAAAGTATTACAAACCCAAATCCCCCCGGGACGAAAAGCAGGGTACTTAGAAAATAATACCTGCTGGGGGCTTAATTAGAATCTTCATCAGAGAGAGAGATAGAGAGAGAGAGAGAGATGAGGACTGTTCTGACCAGTTTGTCTCCCTTTACACTTTTATCTTTTGAGATTTGTAAAGGGAGGAATCCTGCTTGCTCTGATCAATTGTTTGGGGTTTTGCTTTGCAGTGCGTGGGGAATTAATTGGCCTGGGAGAGGTGAAGAGGGTGGAAGTGAGATGTTGAGATTATTCTAATGGGAAAGGTGGTTGTGGGAATAAATAGGGGAGGGGAGGGGTGTTTGAAAGTCAAGGCAAAGGGAGAAGGGAGCATGCAATGTAATGTAATTTGTAGGGTTTAACTGGAAAGCGGTGGTGTGAGTCGTGTAAGAGTAATTGCATATCTCATATTGGGTTTATTTTGAACAAAAGTAATGTAGGCTTTTGGATTGACTCGAGGGCATTTATTTATTTATTTTCATTGTTAATATAATTTTTTTTAAAATTAGTTGAAACTCTCTAGGTTCTTCTAATTTCTCAAATCTGCATAGTAAGTAAAATATTAGACGGTAAGGTGCATGAAAAATATGTACCTATATTATTTCGTAATTTAGGTTCATAACCATTTTGTTTTTATATTTTAGTTTTCATTCCTTTAAAACTAAAAACTAAAGAGTTGTATTCAATTAAGATTTTGAAAGATTGGAAAAGAGTTATAAATTTCTGGAATTTAATGGAGTTCTGTAGACCATGTCAAATTTAGGTGAAATCATTAAAAATCTTAGGGATAGGCCTGAAATTTTAAAGCATAAAAGACACTATAAAATCCCTCCAAATCTTTAATCTTCTAAAATACTTTAAAATCAAATCATAATTGAATTACATAAAGTTTTATGAACAACTTTTAAAATTCGGAATGAATACACTTGGATTCCTTATGAATTTTTATTAACTCTTTTAAAAACCTGATTGAGTACCCATAGACTTCCATGGATTCATTAAATACTTGATTGAATACATATGGATTTGTAAAGGGAAAAGAGTTGTCGGAGCCCTTGAAGCCTAGAACTTCACGGCCTCACGCTATCAGTGGTGGTTTATTCAGGTGATTTTTGGTTGAGTATTATAGAGGAAAGTGAGAGCTTCAATTTGACGGTGTTGGTGTCAACCAGTTCCGTCGAAGATGGCCGCCAAAATTTAGGTCGAAAAAAATCCTGAAGGAAAAACAAGTCGATGAGAGATCGTGAGTTTGTGCGCTAGATTTCTAGGTTGACTTTCCAACATGGTAAACTTTCTATTTCTAAAACTTACTATTTATGGTCATTGTAAAAGACCAAAATGCCCATCATCTTTGGTGCTCGTAACTTTTTTATTTCAACTCCGATTCACGAGTGATTTTCACCTAAATGCTCGAAGGATCAATCTTTATCCATCTATTCTAAATTCACCCCCAAACACCAAAATAAACCTGAAATACGACTCTAAAATTGTTTTCTCAAAATTCTAAAATAAAAACAATAAATTTCAGAACAGAACATCACACACACTAAAAATGGCCATTACAAGAAAATGCTGGAGGCAAAGGAAGGTTTAAGTGCTGCGACGTGACTGTAGTGCTTGCCCCACTTCCTGGTTTTAGCTTCATCAGCTGATGGGTCAGTAGACTGATCAGTAGAGAAGAAAACTTCCTCAACAATCATTTCGATTGGTTATGCCTAGAAAAATAAAAAAACAACATGACTTATCTCTACAATGCTTGTCAAACAGTACTAAAACGTATAAATAACTTGAACAACTTATAATGTTAAATTTTTCATATACCACATATTTTACGATGAGTTCAAATTTAATGAAAGATAATTGTTAAAAAAAATAATTATAGTATCACATGTTTCATGTTATATATGATATAAGTTATGTAACTAATTTGAGTGATTAACAAAATTCACACGTGAAAGCAAGGAGCATTTTGATAATCTCTAACCTTTGACTAATTAATTTCCTGCCAAGAAAAGGGTGTTTGACTGATTATTAATTTAATCTTAATGATCCACAGGGCCATTAGACCAATTCCTAAGGTATACTTTCTAAAAGTGCTTGCTGAAAATTAAAGCAGGCACGATTAATCTCACGCGAAACCTCTTTTTTGTTTGTGGACTAGGGTTCATACTTGTCTACACGGTTAAATGCAATATTGAGTCTCAGCTGCCATTTGTTTGTCGATAGTTAGCAAGTGAAACGACCAAAGAAATAGTACTTAATCACAGAGAGATACTGAATCATAACTCGATGGCGCTGTTTTGGGGTGATTTGAATTTTGTTGGGTACTGAGCTCTTTTTTCTTTTAACAACTCGATCCATCTGTGCAAATCAAGAACACACATTTATTACTTATTAGGAGATGTTATTAACATATAGAGAAATGCTAAGAAGACTCTTTTAAAAATGAAACTCTTTATACTCTTTAAACTCTATCACATATATTTTTTGCATAATATTTTATAATATTAGCATGAAAATTAACATTAAATTATGATATGACAGAGAATATATGAAAAGTCTCCCTTCAAAAGAGTTTCCTTCGCATTCTTATATATATCTAGAGAGAGAGAGATTATATGTTATATTGATGGATTTCGAACTTATACCTAGAGTACTCTACACTTGACCTAGCTCAGATTGAGGGTTACATATATATCCTTGAAGCAAAAAAAAAAAAAAAAAAAAAAAAAAAAAAAAAAAAAAATCACATCAGAAAAATGATTGATATATTGCTTCATTAAAGATATTAAAGTGTGGACATGTCTACTATATAAGCATACAATTAACTTATACAATGAAATTTGCTAGCGTTTTTCCTGTGGATATGTACATAATGTAGTTTGCAAAAGTCAGAGACATAGACAAATACACATAATACCGCAGCAAAGTTTCACATGGGTATTGGGGGAAGATGATCAAAGCATGCAGCATATCTATGTGTTATTGTGTGTGGACTATGCTACGCGTGTCCAATTCCCCATGCACATACACAGAGAGAGGAAAGTGTGATAGGATTTTAGTCTACGTCGTGTCGGTTCGATTCCGACATGCTAACAAAATCCTTATGTGACCTCAAGCCCTAACAAAGCTTTGCGCTGGAACCCTGGGATGGTTGAAACTCTCTTTAAAACGGTCTTGGAATTCTGCTAATTAAAACAAAGAAAATGTGTAATCCATACTTTTGTTCATATCTGTGTCTCAAAAATCAAAATGTTTTCGAGTCTAGGTTTGACAATAAGAGATTTGCACCTTGAATTCGAACGCTCCTTTTATGCTAAAGTTGACTTACCATATTACCTATTATAATTGTAAATAGGATTTGTATTCTATTGTGGTTAGATGTCTTAATTATCGTAATTTCTTCTTTTAAAAAACTTTGTAAACTTAAATATTTCTTCCTTAATAACAAAAAATACATATTAGAAATATATTCCACTATTAATTTGAGTAACATAACATGGGTGAGTTACATGGCTATAGACGGTTGGCTATCGCCTTGATTATGTTTAGGCATTTGCAAATTAAGAAAAGGCGCCTAGACCTGCTGAGGTACCCACCTAGACCACTAGGCACCCGCCTAGGTCGAGACTCACTTAGACAACAAATAGATAACTTTCACTTTGTATTTTATTTTTTTCAATAACTTGTAAGAGACTTGTTACATACTTAAAAGAACACATGTTATATCTCTGTTCCCCATGTTTTCATTATGTTCCAATACTTCATAATATATATGTTATACTATTTTGTAGTTTATGATGAAATTATATATATTTTAGTATAAGTAGACACTTATTTACACGAAATATAATAGATTTACTTAAATCCAACTAGTCTGCCTAGGCCCTGCCTAGCCACCTAAGCGCTAGGCCCCAACCTGCCGCCTGACTAGCGCCCAACGTCTTTAAAACCTTGGTTACATGTGTATATTTTAAAGTATTAGTAAATAAATTACGAGTTATAATATAGATGTAACATATCGTGACCGTGAGACAGTCATACCCAAAAAGAAATTCATAAATGTGAGATTTGTAATTAATTAATAATATTGTGTAAACACATTGTTATGTTGTGATATAACATAATAGGACAACTTTGGCGTTTTGAGGTCGAATAGACTTGGAGAGTGTCTCGTTATGGATTCCACATTCCGTTTCATGTGACATTGGATATAGTTCTTTGTCTTGTTGCTTTTGTTACGTTATAGTGTTAGTCTTCATACCGAACATGTGAATATCCACCATTTGTGTAACACAATGGAATGGATCACATACTCTGACTTAATGGTGAAGTTAAGCCCTTCTGAAATTTATAATGAATTGACTAAAAGTACTGATCAGAATTTGTGTAAACATGCACATTTGAACTAATATATATATATATATATATATTCACACTGCATTCTAGTTATACAATAAAATCTCTACAAAGTCATAAAGTTGGGATCAGATTAATTTATAATTTTAGGAAGGTTATTACATTATTTAT